AGTATGCAAAATATTAGTTTCCAGTTGCATGCAATCATATAATGCTGTTTTTTTTGTTTTGTTTTTGTTTTTTGAGACAGGATTTCTCAGTAACTTTGGAGTCTGTCCTGGAGTAATTTTCTAAAAATTAAGTTACATGTTGAGGCAGGAGTTAGCTCATGGTAGACAGTAAGGAAATGAGGTTATGGTGAAAACTACAAGTTATTCTGTATGCTACAGAGGGAATGGGTATTAAGGTTAAAAGGTGTTATGAATCCAGAAGCATCAAGAAGAGACAAAGACTTTTTGTTTTTTGAGCCAGGGCTCTCCGTGGCTTTGGAGACTGTCCTGGAACTAGCCAAGAGACAAAGGTATTTACAGCTGGGTATGAGATAGCTGAGCAGGCCTGAAGAGACAAAGGAGCTCTAACAAGCAAAGTCAGTGCCAAAGGCTGACTAGCTGTTTTGAGACTTTTCCCCTTTGGGAAGCACATGCTAGGCACTGTTGGTGTATTATATTACTGCTTTTAATTCATCACCTCTAACTGATTATAATAGACTAAGTGATGCCGGGCGGCCTTTAATCCCAGCACTCGGGAGGCAGAGGCAGGCGGATCTCTGTGAGTTCGAGGCCAGGCTGCTGGACCGACAGCCTCCAAAACAATACAGAGAAAACCCTGTCTTGTAAAACCAAAAAAAAAAAAAAAAAAAAAAAAATAGACTAAGTGATAAGGAGGGCTTCTAACAACCCCACCACCATCATTTCAGGAAGGAGACCCCGGACCATTGTGTAGACCAAGAGACAACCAAGAACACTGCAGCTGCCTTTTGGCAACCGTGAGAACAAAGAAAGTATAAATTTTTTTTTTTGGTTTTTCGAGACAGGGTTTCTCTGTATTGTTTTGGAGGCTGTCCTGGAACTCACTCTGTAGACCAGGCTGGCCTCAAACTCACAGAGATCCGCCTGCCTCTGCCTCCCGAGTGCTGGGATTAAAGGCGCGCACCACCAACGCCCGGCCAAAGAAAGTATAATTAGACACTCAAGGACAACTAACACAGCCAGAGAGCTTAGTATAATTAATAGCAAGACACTTGTACAGTCACCAAGATAGTAATGCTGTCCAAGTAACTAACAACTAAGCAGACTCAGAGAAGGCTAGGGTTGGGGGTCTCCAACACCCCTAACTGAGTGCGCAGGACACAAACCTTAAATGATCATGTCTTTGACAGAACCTGGGACATAAGCATGTGGATCATGACAACCCAGAGAATTAACCAGTCTCAATAGAGAGTACCTCAGTCTTTGTTGGAATTTTAGTGGCTCCTTTGGAAATCCCTCACAATTCTAGAGTACCACTCACTTTTCCTCAATTTCTCACTTTTCTATAATTCTTAATAAGTCCGACTTGCATTAGCCGAGGTGGATGGAGCACACCTTTAATAACGGCACTCAGGAGGCAGAGGCAAGCATTCTCTGAGAATTCGAGGCCAGCCTGGTCTACAAAGCAAGTTTCAGGACAGCCAGCTAGCTCATCTTGTCTGCTATTGGCAAACATCTGCCTCCGTGTGTGTCCTTTTGAGACATTCCCATTCTGCAAATCAGTACACAAGTATTTGCATGAACATGTACACACACACATTTAACATAGTTTCTTTATTGATTCTTGGGAAATTTCACATCATATACCCTAATTCCACTCACCTCCCAGTTCCCCCATATCTTCCCTTCATCCCTGAAAAAAAAATCACAAGACAAGCAAGCAAGCGAACAAACAAAAAACTCTTCAATCCTCCATCTTCCCTGCCTCTCCAACACCTCTTCATTTATCCTGGTGACACTGGACGCCTTCGAAGTATCACATAGTAAACCATTTTGTCCAATCAGCTTTACTAGCAAATGTTCATTGCAATGAGTCATTGGTCTGGTCCAACGCCTCTGGTTTCTGGTTCACCATCATCACTGGATCCTCCCCAAGATAATCTGTAACTGATAACCCATGGTTGCCCTGAGTCATGGAGCTCCTGTGGGTTTTGTTCCACAGGACCAGTCCCTTCACCAGCTCCAGCAGATCCTAGATGGGGTAGATGAGCCAACCTAAGGCCCTACTGTGGGCCTGGGTGGTAGCTGATCTGGTTAGTCCAGGCCGCTGGGGCCACCCTCCATAGGGGAGAGGGCAGAGCCAGCTCCCTTATGCCCATACTATGAGGGTCAGTTCTCCCTCACCTTGGTGAGGACTGGGATATCTTTCCCAAGTGCAGAGTCCAGCTCTCCCAGGAGGGTTAGGGCCACCTATCTTGCTGCAGTGTCCAGTGAGGGGCAGGGCCCGATCAGCTTGGCCCTCTGAGGTAACACAGGCCACAGACATGAACACAGACCACAGTTACTGCCGAATCATGGACTCTGACATGCCTGCACCCTCTCCCCACAGCAGCGGCTCCAGTTGGACAACATCCTGGCTCTGTGTAGAAGTATAGGCCAACAAGATCAGCATGGCCACAGTGGCTGCATGGCTGTCAGGTACCAACATGGCCCCAGGTGGTAACCCAGACACCAGGAATCCTCATGGCCCTGGATGGCAACAGGAGCCATGGACATCAACAGAGACTCTGGTTGCAGTAGGGCCATAGAGCCATACACAGCCCTCAGCTGCAGCCCTGGCCCATGGTACTGGGTGGTAGTATGTGCCACTCACATTTGTATGGCCTCTGTTGCAGCATGGCCCTTGGGCACCAACATGGTCCCAAGTGGACGATCGGATTCCAGGCATCCTCATGGCCCTCCGTGGCAAGAGGACCACAGATGTTGACTCAGACCCCGGCTGCTGTAGGGCCATGTTTCTAGACATGGCCCGCAGCAGCAGCCCGGGGCCCAGAGGACACCATGGCCCCGGGGGCAGCACAGGCCACTCATACCAGCATGGCTCCAGTGGCAGCAAGGCCCTCGAACACAAACAAGACCACAAGTTTTGGCCCAGACCCCAGAATTCTGTGTGACCTGAATGTATATTTTTAATTATCTTATTATGTAACGAGAAATATAAGTAAAGTGTTGGATCATATAGTAATTCTTTTTGTTGTCTTTGTGTTTTGGGAAAAGGTTTCACTGTGTAGCTCTGGCTGTCCTGGAACTCTGTAGACCAGGCTGGCCTTGAAGTCACAGAGATCTGCCTGCCTCTACCTCCCGAGTGCTGGGATTAAAGGCATGTATAACCAGTGCTTGGCTTAATTATTTTATATTAGCAAACTTTAATTTTTTTTCAAGTTTATTTTGATTTACTTTGTTTAGATTTCCCTTTGATAACATACACAAAAGACTATATAATCGGAGATATAATTTAGCTTCTCGCAAATCTTGTTTTTTTTTTTTTTTTTTTTTTTTGGTTTTTCGAGACCTGATTTCTCTGTATAGTTTTGGAGGCTGTCCTGGAACTCGCTCTGTAGTCCAGGCTGGTCTCGAACTCACAGAGATCCGCCTGCCTCTGCCTCCCGAGTGCTGGGATTAAAGGCGTGCGCCACCAACGCCTGGCCACAAATCTTGTTTTGTAAATAAATTATATTTATATTTAGCACATCTATAAACACGGTTTTAGGCATACTAATGGTATTTAATTATACCTGACTTTATAAAATGCAGACATTGAACCTAGGGCTTCCTACATGCTAGGCAAATACTCTACCAGCTAAGCTATACCCTTAGGTTCTCACAGTATAGCTCAGGCTGACCAGAAACTCACAACATAGCCAGGCTGGCCTTGAATTCATGGTGATTTTCCTGCCTCAACTTTTCTTTCTTTCTTTTTTTTTTTCTTTCATTATTTTGAGACAAGGTTTGACTGTGAAGCAGCTCTGGCTGTCCTGGAGCTCACTCTGTAGATCAGGTTGGCCTCAAACTCACAGATCCTTGCTTCTTCCTCTCTAGTGCTGGGACTAAAGGCATGAACTGCCACTGCCTAACGTGCCTCAACTTCTGAGTGCTGGCATTACAGGTATTACCATGTATTACATGATACCTGTCTTCTTTATCCATTTATTTGTGTGATTCCCTCTCTGGCTATTAGAAGTAATGTTGCCCTGAACATGAATTGCTGGTATTGTCTCGGGGTTCTGATTTCATTCCTGTTGAGTGTAAATCTGAAGGACTGCTGGGTCATGTGATGAGTTCATTTGTAATTCTTTTTCAGTACTTTCTATACTATGTTATATACCAAATTGCATTTGTACTCAGTGTACCGGACCCTCTTTTTATACAGGCATGAGGCTGTGCAAAATGTAAAAGAATGTACTGTCTTTTCTATGAAAGGGTTAAATGAGACAAAACAAAACCCCATTACCTTTTTTTTTTAATGAAGAATTTCTGCTTGGCAGAAATTAAAATTCACTCGGGGTCATCACTTCTTGAAATAAAAACATGGACTTGCGTTTCATTTTCCCCTAGAATCTGCAAATTGTATATGAATGTGAGTCACGGGACCCCCGTTCCCTTAGAAATAAAAACCTAGTGGGCCCCACAGGGTATGCTTGCCTGGTTGATTTGGCACAGCAACCACACTTCTGCAGAAGTAAAACTTTTTGTCTAACCAAAATAACTTATATAGTGTGCTTAGTCATTTTCTTGAGACCTCAATACTGAACAGTGGTACCGGTAAGTCAAATAAATCCTTTCCTCCACAAGTTGTTTTGATCAGGGTGTTTCATCATTACAATAGTAATCCTGGCTAAGATAGAATTGAACAGGATTATTTAATCTGTTGATGCTCTCATCTTAAAAGGAATAGGAGATAGTTTATTCTGGAGCTATTTTGTGTAACCATGGCCCAGGAAAACAGATTTTGGTTACCCCAAATCCCTGTTCTGATGTGAAGCCAGTTTTGTGAAGGTTTATAGTTTTACAGAACAAAGAAGTTCATACACCAGGGCAAGCTTCAAACACCAGGGAGGCAAATTCCACTCTTTCCACAGTACTAAATTCCAATTGGTCCATCATTCTCTGCAGACACAGAAACTCCTTCCAGGAGGTTTTTGTTCACAGCAAAATACAGTTTTATTTCAGAAATTTTTCTTCACAAATAATATGAACACAAGCATGTAAACAGCCTTTCAATAGTAGTGATGACATAACGAATTGTGGCACATGATAAACAACATTCTCTTTGAAAAAGACAGGTCATCTCCTCTGGGTACAGCCTCCATCAGTAGGCTTACACTTAGTAACTGCCTCCGTGGCCCTCATATTTAAGTGCAAATGTCACAGGTCACAGGTATTTTATGTAGGTGACATTAGAAAATGAACTCCACATAGGAAAAAGTTGCAGTAGGTTAGGAAGTTAGGCCATTCAGTTACACATGCATTCAACTGCACCAGGCCAGGAATTAGAAACGAGATGTGCACAGGAGCGGGTCAGTCACACAGACTCCTGCAGCTGGCTCAGCATGACGCTCCGGGTACAAAAGCTGCTTGTCTCCCAGACTCCAGTGTCTGCCCCTCTGCCTAGGAACGGCACTGCTTCGGTAAGGCTGCCCACTAAGACAGGAAGAAGCGTGGGCCACAGCTTCTCCCTGAGAGAAAGGTGAAGAAGAATGAGTGCCGAAACAGTATCCCAAAAGCTCCTAAACGTCATTTCCAAAAAATCCTTGCACAAACCGGCTCATGCAAGAAAAGCCGGCATTTTCTCTGTGGTGGTTTCTTGCTGCCCACAACAGTGTCTGATAGAGCTCAGGCTGGCCCTAATTCCCTAGGTAGCCAGCCCACTGTCCTTGTCTCCTGATCTGGGTTTCTGGGCTTACAGCCCCTCCCCCCAACACTCTACTGAAATGCAGCATTTCCATGCAGCAGATTTCCTAGCCCGTGGTTCCTGACTTCAGGACACTGCACTAATCCATAATTTTGATGATATCACTACGTGGATATGGTTTGGGGAACCTCAAGATGGGCTTTTCAAAAGTTAGGCATGTTTGCAGTACGCGGAAAAAAAAATTCTCGACACGGCTTGGCACTCTGGCGTGGTGGCAGAGCCGGTAGCAGACACAATGAAGCCTTTGCCAAATGCCTGCCCAGAAAAAAAAGAAAGAAAGAAAAACCAGAAGAAAGAAAAGTCGGGCAGGCGTGGGGGAGGGGCGGCCACCGCCCAGTGCCTCAAGGCTCCTATCACTGCTGCCTACTTGCAGGAGCACAATTCAGGCAGGCGAGCCAGGCCCTAGGAGCTCCGAGGAGCCACAGTAAGTCACCAGCCGAGCCAGAACAGGAACCAGGGCAGCTAGCTCCCCCAAGGCGCTGGCTACAGCATGACAGCCTCCTGCCTCTCTTAAAGGGGAAACCCCTGCCTCTCTTAAAGGGGACGCAGCCACAGGCAAGTGGAACATCACAGAAGTCACAGGCAACCCCAAACACACCAAGGTGCATATCCGGAGCTTCCCAGAGCCCGGGGATGAAAAGTACAACCAGCTCTGGAGACTTTCCTCAAAGCCCTGGTTCCCCACACCCACAGCTAGACCTCACTATAGTGGGATGCCAGCAATCCAGGCACTGGGGGCCTGATGCAGGGGGATCTCCAGTGTTGTGTGCAGGCAAAACACCAATGCACATAAAAGAAAAATAATAAACTTAAAAAATAAAAAATATTTTGTCCTTTTTTTTTTTTTTTAGCTGAGGAGCAAACCCAAGGCCTTTCATTTTTGAGGCAAGTACTCTATCACTGAGCTAAATCCCCACACCCTTCTCTTAAGACTGATGGGCTAGCTGGGCAGTGGTGGCACATGCACTCAGAAGGCAGATGCAGGTGCATCTCAGCGAGTTCGAGGACAGCCTGGAGTTCGAGGACAGCCTGGTCTACAAAGCGAATTCCAGGACAACCAGGAATGTTACACAGAGAAACCCTGTCTCAAAAAACAAGCAAGCAAACAAACAAACAAACAAAAAACAGCGCATGACCAAGAAACTTTTCTCAAATGAAAGTGTTTCTGATAACCATGGCATGCAAAGCCTTAATGTGCATTTACATCCACGCCAACACTAGGGAAAGGCACATCCCAACCTTGGTATGTGTGAATTCAGACAGTTTCTACAGCCAAAACATGCTTTTCTTTTTCTTTCTTCTTCTTCTTCTTCTTTTTTTTCTGAGACAGGGTTTCTCTGTATTCTCTGTATCCAGGAGGTCGTCCTGGAACTTTCTGTAAACCAGGCTGGCCTTGAAGTCACAGAGATCTGCCTGCCTCTGCCTCCTGAGTGCTGGGATTAAAGATGTGTGTCACGAACACCCGGCGAAAACAGGTTTCTTTATGGCATGTATCAGGTAATCTGATACTCAAAATGATATTTTGGCTTAATTAATTGGCAATACCAAAGTGTAATGTGCCAGCAGCATCACGACATGCTTCTGAGCTATTCAGGAGGTTGCACAGATCTCAAGGATGTCATTTCTTCCATACAGTACAGTGGAAAAGATGCGCTGGGCAACAGTGCCCATCTGCAGTCCTAGAGCTTGAGATGCAGATAGAAGATGAATGGGGCAAGTTCCAAGCCAGCCTGGGTTACATACCCCGTCTAAAACTAATAAAAGAGAAAACAGCTACAACACAAAATGGAAAAGAAAACATAGAAACGAAGATGTACTTGAAAGAGGTTTGGAGGTACAGAGGAACCAGCTGTACTCTGTGGAAACATTGCAGGCTGCCATTTCCCAGATGATAGCAGCTTCATAGAGAGAAAAACAAAATACACATGTTATCCTAGAATGGCAGCAGCTTGTTAGAGTGCAGCAGTACCAGGCCTGTAGCAACCTTTTTTCCCCCAAGACATGGTTTCTCTGTATTGTTTTGGAGGCTGTCCTGGAACTTACTATGTAGAACAGGCTGGCCTCGAACTCACAGAGATCTGCTTGCTTCTGGCCCCCAAGTGTTGGGATTAAAGGTTTGTGCCAATAATGCCTGGCTACAGGGTGCAACATTAAAAGTAAAGAACAAAGCCGGGCGTTGGTGGCGCATGCCTTTAATCCCAGCACTCAGGAGGCAGAGGCAGGCGGATCTCTGTGAGTTCGAGGCCAGCCTGGTCTACAGAGCGAGTTCCAGGACAGACTCCAAAGCCACAGAGAAACCCTGTCTCGAAAAAAACAAAACAAAACAAAACAAAAAAAAAAAAAAAAAAAGAAAGAAAAAAGTAAAGAACAAGACCTTTGGGTCATTTCAATCACCAGTGAGCCTGGCCTATCTAATCATATCTCTCTATGTCTCATCTGTCTCACAAAGAGCTGTGGTTTTTAGAGACAAGGTTTCTTTGTCTAACAGTCTTAGCTGTCTTGCAACTCATTCTGTAGACCAGCCTGGCCTCGAACTTACAGATATCCGCCTGCCTCTGCCTTCTGAGTGCTGGAATTAAGAGGTGTCATCTTTATTTATCAAATTTTGCCTAGAATTTTTTAAAACCAGAGTTTTGCAGAAGAAGTTATTTATTGGCCCATACAGACTCACAATAGCACATATAATCACTGTTATTGACGTGTTTTCAACGTTTATAGTGGATGTCTGGTCCCAACCCCCCAGTTTGGCCGTGTGGGCTCAGTTCAGGCTGGACTCTGACCTAGTAAACATTCAGCATTCCTCAGAAACCTTGTAAAGTGGGTTTCTGTTTGCCAGGAAAAACGGTTACTTTCTTATCTGCTCCTACAGTTCCCCAACCTCCAGAAAGGAAATCTAGTTTTCCATTAACTAATAGAAGCCTCCAACTGACCAGAGCCCTACACTAGTTCCAGACTGTTCCAGCTAACCTTCCCTCCTCCCACTGCTACATAACCCCTTATAACTGGCAGGACTCTCCCATTTTGCTATCTTCTCTGATCTCCTAGCCACGAAAATTGCCAGTATGCCTATTTTCCTGCCTTTTCTCTCAGCTCCTCTTTCAGTCTCTGAGTGATAGCTATGGTAGACTCCCCCAGATGCTTTTGGCTATCTTCTCTTATCTACAAAAAAATCACTCTCCCAACCATGGAGTGGCCTTGTTTTCTTCAATGTTGCTTCCAAAGCTGCTGCTTCCAACAAATGCTGTCACACATACACACTTCTGAGACACAGACATGGAAAGCTCAGAAGAGAAATATGTAATGTAGTTTAAGATTAAGGCTGTGTACTAAACTTAGCTTGTCACAATTGGTTCTACAGGGAGTCTAAGGTATAGTGAGATTGGTTACATTGCTTTCTTTAAAAGGGGTTAAATTTAAACAAGCTAAGTATTCAGTATAAAAAAACCCACATTGAGTTCATAGTGGGTTTTCTTTGCTGTTGTTTAGTTTTGTTTTTCGAGACAGGGTTTCTCTGTGTAACAGTTCTGGCTGTCCTGGAACTCACTCTGTAGACCAGGCTGACCTTGAATTCACAGACCCACTTGCCTCTGCCTCCTGAGTTCTGGAACTAAAGGTGTGGATACCACTGACTGGCTTTAAAAAAATTCTTAAATCAAAATTCTTGCTGAGACAGCCCAATTAGTTCCAATGCACTATGTTACTCCAAAATGAAATCTATCCAAGGGAATCAGATCATATGACTGGCTCCAAAGTACTTGAAAATCTAGTTTGAGGTAAAATTGAGAGTGGATGTATATATCAGAGATGTTTGGAGACTTCTAAATGGGAAGACCAGATAAACCATAACCCTAACCCTAGCACATCAGTTTTTTTGGTGATATGACCAGCAGACAGGCCATTACTTACAAGCTAAAGTATTTATTATCTCTGGAGTGCATTAATCTCTATTAATCTTTGGCATAAAGGGCAGAATGGCTTGTGGTTAACTCAGATGTGACAGCCAACTAGTGAACAATTTTATACCTCTAAGAGAACTAAAGCTGGGGAGATGCGACTCTTCTTTCTTCCCAGTAACCATAAAATAAATGCTTCAGCTCTTTAACCCTAAAAATGGAGTCTTTGTACAGATTTCCTTTTCATCCCACAGTAATAAAAATGATACCCAATAATAATAAGCAAGGTCTTATTTAGGCATGGTGGCATACTGCACGACAGAGCAAGTTCCAGGATAGTCAGGGATACACAGAGAGACCCTGTTTTGAAAGACAAACCAAAAGGTCCTACACAAAAAGGCCCCCTGGGCCATCAGCCCTTATATGTTTGTTATTTATTCATCTTAAAGTGATCTTAAGCATTTCACAGACTCTTTGTTAAGCATATCCTGTGTGAGACTAATAATAACTACTTTTAGTGAATGTAGAGTTATTCTCAGTGGGCAGTGGCGATGCACATCTGTATCCCAGCATAGGCAGGAGGATTTCTGTGAGTTCCAGGACAACAATATATCTGTTTGAAAGTGAGCAGAAAAGCTTGACAAAGAACCCCATATTCAGCTTGTGTTTTTTAATATAAGAAATACAAGACTAATCTATAAAATATTCTTAGAAATGAAAGAAAATGACAGCAGAAAAAATGGAAAAGTAAAGAAAAGCTTGTTCTCTATAAGCATTAATAAGTATAAAACACTCAGCAGACCTATGAGATGGAACCTGTACCTGACACTGTTAATATGGACAAGATAATAAGACTACATAGGTCATAGGTCCTAGGAGAAAATCTATTATTCTATTAAAGATAGTAATAAAATGACTCCTAAAGACAATTTGCTATACCTATAGCACCAACTCACCCAACCTTCAATACAGAAACTTTAATTGCAGACGATGAAAACTAATACAGAGACTGAATAATACATAGAAAAAAATTTAGACCCAGCACTTGGGAGGTAGAGGCAGGCGGATCTCTGTGAGTTCGAGGCCAGCCTGGTCTACAAGAGCTAGTTCCAGGACAGCCTCCAAAGCCACAGAGAAACCCTGTCTCGAAAAACCAAAAAAAAAAAAAAAAAAAAATTTAGAACACTCAATCCTAAATGGGATGTCTTCATCATACCCTTCCACTCAAAGCTCAGGAATCTACACAGAAAGGTTAGTGGATGACTCTAGAGAAACCAATAGCATCTACAGAGTGAATTCTAGGACAGGGCAGTTACAGAGAATTGTGTTTCAAAATAAAAAACTTCAAGCTAGTTCTAAGACAGCCTCCGAAGCCAGAGAAACATTGTCTTGAACACTGCCCCCCCCTGCCCCCCAAATTAGCAATGTTCAAAAAGTAAAATAATGATAGTATCAAAATAAACCCAGTAAACTCCATATTATTTCTAGACTGTATATTGTATTTATCGAAGAACATAGAAATATACTTTTAAATTTCGAAATGGAAAAATACAATAAAAATATACAGTAAGATGTCTCCTCTGCTATAAAATTGTTTTGTGCTGAAAGGGATATACTCAGCTGTTATAGCAATTACTTAATAGATTACAAAATTATATATGCTCTATACATTCCAAAAAAGTCCAGGCCAATTGAGTCAACCTGTTCTTGCAATAGTCTTCACTCAAAAGGCCACACTGTCGTCCACTTCGTGTTGGTTCTCTTGCTCCTCACGTACTGGCCCCATTGGTGAGCAACACCTGCCAAATAGATATGGCAGCAACATCAATGAGACCATCAAACCTTTAAGTCCAACTTGCCCGATGAGCCGATAGTGGGAAGAAACCTCACATCCACACAGAATAATGTAAAACTGGGAGTTTCCCTCCTCTAATCTACTTTTAAGAAAAAAAAATACTTTATAATCCTGACGCAAAGCAACATTTCAGAATGACAAGTATTAGATGTCTGCTTGACATTCCATGGCTAGGGCAGCTCTGAGGATGTTTGGGAACCTGTCTACTGGACACGGTTCCCCCATTCTACTTTTTTTACTCAGTTAATTAATACTTCTGATGCTATATCCTTTACTTGAGTCTTTTAACATCTGTATCAGATTCAACTGAAATCATGCTGTATGCCAAACGCATACTTAGAAAAGTCCATAAAAGCGGTGACATTTAAAAAGTGACAACTATGGGGATATGAAACTCCATTTGGTGCGCCACAGAGAGAGATCCCATTCACTTCATTCTCCTCACTCACGTTATTCACAGGGGAAACAAGCAGTTGCCTTCTAACTCCACTCACAAATATCAGACATCCCACGTTACGCCTCCCCTTAATAAAGATTTTAGGGTAAAATATCTGCCAAAAATATCAAGCATTTGTTATTTAGACACTATTACAACCCTTTTTTCTATCTGCTTTGTGTGTCACTCCTGTTGGTACATCCAGAGAGCAACATGGGGTCTACTCCCAATACATATTGAGCTTTTATTCACAATGCAGCTTTTCACAGGTCCAGTTCTGAGCATGGAAAGGAAGAGAGATTACTCAATCAGGGTGGGGAACGAGAGGGAGGTGTTACTAAGAACAAAAGCTGTATTAGGACACAAGACAAGAAAAAGGAGGCAAGATCAAGGGGGTAAGATATAAAGGGTGACCCAAAAGTGTCTGGGGAATAAACTGGGAAAGTATTTGAAAGTTATAATACTTTCCACATCTAAGGCTATCCCACCCCCCATGACAGCGTTAACCATGACTCCTAATATCTACTATTTGTCTAAACAATTCTAGTACCTATTGACCAAGCCAAAACAGAGGGACTACTGAGGCCGTTGTTTATTCTTAGGTATAGCTTCTCCTGCTGCCAAAATGATACCAGTTGAGTGTCATCAGACTAATGAACATGAGCTTTCATTAGTGAACTGAAAAAGAATGATAAACTTTGGGCAACCCAGTTGCTGTTTTCCCTCTTTTACCATTGTCTAACTTAACCTGAGGGGTAAATACAAAGCAACCCTGGTCCCTGAAGGAATAGTCATGAGAACAGTGATTATTGAATCTTCATTATAATATAGAGAAGGTTGAAAAATACAACAAAAGTCATGGATTATATACTTAGGAAATAGTATTCAAAAGAAAAATCTGAACTAGGCAGGGCAGTATACACCTGTTCCAGGACAGACAGGAACACAGAGAGAAACTCTGATACCAAACAGGTGGTGAGGCAGGAGGAAAGTAGTGTTAGGACAAACTGGCCAGAAAACCAGGCTGTCCAAAAAAGAAATGGGAGAAAGTCTGCTTGTACTGTTAGTTCATAAGACTTTCTTGTGTGTTTTAGCTCCTAAATTTTTATTGCCATTTCTGTCTTCAACAGCAAAGGGAGGCACTACCATTGAGCAAATAAATTGGACATTTTCTGATCCAAGACTGGTTTTTATTGGTGGTGGGGTCACATGAAGCTAATTAATGAATGTATGCATCCCTCCCCATCCTTGGAATTGAACTATACATGTCTTGTTTTAGTACACAAATGCTCTACCACTGACCTATGGTCCCAGCACTCAAAATTCAGTTTTCCATGTTTGGTAGCCCATGCCCATAATCTTAAAAATTAAGAGGCAGAAGCAGGATTGCTCCAAGTTTGGGGTCTGTTTAATATATGTGAGGAATTTACAGACAGCCAGGACTAACCAACCAGATCTTGTTTCAAACCAAAAGAAATAAAAGTTAAAAACACAAATGTTGCTCATACTAATGCTTCTTAGACAGTCTACTCCTGACCTAGGATGCTTTTTCTCAACTGTTATTCATGACAGATGACAGAAAAAGTAGTATTTTTTTTTTCCATATTTGCTAGATTAGTGCCCTATACTTGACTGTCAACTGTATACTCTAGTATTTGTGCCTTAAGAGACCTGTTCCTGATCCGAATATGCTTCTACCATGTGCCTTCTCAGATTATCTTTCTCCAAGGTCTGCAAACAGTCTCCTCCCATATTAAAAAGGTGATTATATGACTCACTGTAGGACCCTGAAGGGGTCGGGTAACATGTATTCTCGTTGTCCCTTCCGATAACAGACATTTCTCACTGAATTAAGACATTACATACACAACATAGGAAAAAGGAAATACAAGCTTGGTATTTGGTAGACAGGGATGTGGAGAGCTGGACAAATATGAAAAAGAAAAACTGAATACCAACCATAACAGCAGACTCCAGATTGAATGATGAAGCTGTTACTCAATGATCACTGTGGTCCAACCTAGGGAGTAATTGGCAGCAATTAAAATAACAACAACAACAACTGTCAAACATCCACAAGCAGTCAATTCCAAAACACAGGCATATAAATGCAATTTCATAGAAAACACATTATTAAATACAACATTTAAGGCACTGGAGAGACTATTCTCCCGTTTACACCCTCAGCAAAGATTATAAAACAGAAACAGTCAACTGAAAATAGTCCACACTACACAGAAGGGTGCTCATCCCAAGACTGAGAAGTCAGGATTAAGCTTCAGAAGTAAGTACATCGAAGAGACCTTGGATGCTGTAGGCAACTGGCCGGAACAAGCTGAGCCCATGGAGATGACAGAGCAGGCGCCCAATTAATATCTGTTGATGATTCATTTTTTCATTCAACAAACATTTAATGAGGCCTACAATGTGCACCAGATTAGGCACTGGGAATACAAAGATGAATAAGGCACTGTCCTTGCCCTTAAGGATTTAGTCTGACAGACGAGAGCCATAGACACGGACAATGATAATACAACCTGATAAGTGCGAGAGAACACTTAGCAGGTTGTATTATATCCATCCGAGTAGGATTTCTTCAGAGGAGCACCAGGTTGCTGCTGGATCCATGAAGTCCTCCTGAGCACCAAGGTGTGCTGTTGTTTCTTTCTCTCATACGTTGAGTGTCCCAAGAACTAACAATTAAAGCTTTAATTTATAAAGTACCTTTGATACACTTTTACATATGTCTTCATGGAAACCCTGAAAATTAAGCATGGTATGATGAAACCAAGGTTTGGTGTGTTTGGTAGAGGCATTAAATAACATAGGTACTAAACAGGTAGAACTACATTTCAGTTCTGCTGTGACAAAAACCTTTATTCATGTGTAATGAAACTTCTCCACAGTTTTAACTTAGAACAAAGGTTACTAATCAATATGGATTGAGGGGCATTGTCTAGTCTCTAACATGGACTAGCAGAAAAAAATATCTGATGCGGTTTTACACTAGTGTGACACTAAAAACAGTTTCCCCACTGTAATGTTTCTTATGTGTCTTCTTTTAATCCCTGTCATTGTCAACACCATTATTAACAGTAACCACAGCTGATACAGCTTCATCTATATTCCTGGCCTAGTCTACAGACTTGAATAAAAAATTTCAATAATGCATTATATTATAAGCAAAATTAACTACTGGGGAAAAAACAAAAAACAAAACTACATCAGCAACTAAGGAAGCAGTTTAAGGTTAGGTTAGCTAATAGCAAAGCCCAAACCTTAGAATCTCGGTTTTCCTGTGCAGTTCAGGGCTTCCTTTGTGATAAGTTCCTCTGAAGTACTTCCAAGTAAGTGATCAATATAGGCCTTCTTTAAAAAGGCCATGTACTTAAATACAATTACCCTGGTCATAAAGCCATTATTTGAATCCTAAATGGCAATACTAGAGTTTTTTAGTAGAAAACATGTTTATGGTATTTGTTTGTTTGAGACAAGGTCATGTTATGAAACCCAGACTGGCTTCTAGGCAAGATTGTCTTCCTGTGTAAGCAGCTCCAATGCTGGGATTATATTCATATGACTATATGCCAGGCTTTGAGAAGAGAAAGTCAAGCTGGATATTTTAAATTACTGTATATATTTATTGTTTGAAAGTGAAACAATGAACATTTTAAGTATCTAAGTGAAGCAATGGTGCCAATAACAGACTATTTACTTCTTCAACATCCTTCACATTTTATTTAGAACAAATATACAAGTCTGAAAAAACACTGACAATGAAAGTAGAGCAGATGAGAATGACCAGGAATATAGTTATGCTGCTATTTCAATAGTGCACCAAGAATCAACATGGCTATATGGCTATTTCCAAGAACTTACTGTATTCTGTTGAAAAGAAAGAAAACACTATCCATCTATGGAACGAAGTGTGTGTGTGTGTGTGTGTGTGTGTGTGTGTGTGTGTGTGTGTATGTGTGTGTGTATTTTTGATGAGGAAGCTATGGTCTCTTTTTCTTGCTTCCTTCCTCTAATTTTCCTATAAGTTGCCACTTGCTAACCCTATTTATCAACTCCCACAATTTTTGCCTTGGCTATTTGTCACTACCACCAGAATCATCAGAAGCATCCCTGTATGGAAATTCATAATAAAACTCCAAGTTCCGCCGGGCATTGGTGGCGCATGCCTTTAATCCCAGCACTCGGGAGGTAGAGGCAGGCGGATCTCTGTGAGTTCGAGGCCAGGCTGGACCGACAGCCTCCAAAACAATACAGAGAAACCCTGTATCGTAAAACCAAAAAAAAAAAAAAAAAAAAAACCAACAACAACAAAAACAAAACACTCCAAGTTCCACAATACACAAGCAAAAGCCCTACTCTTAACGTTTACAGTCTAATGTCATAAATTATTTCCCCCAATTTACCAGTCCATGCCTGACAGAAAACCCTTACCTATTGAATGCTTCTAAAACTCTCCAGTTATCCATCTCACTGTCCCTATAGATACCCCATCCCAAACTCCAAATGACTAATGAGTCACCCTTTTATGGTTCAATGCATAGACGTCATTCACCAGGACTTCTGGCATCCTCAGACTTACTAAAATGACTTTTCCTGTGGAAAACATAGCACTTTGAATATCTCTTCCCTAAAGAGTATATATAGCAAATTGCTATAATTATCTATGTGCATGCTGATCTTTCTTACTGATGTCTCAGAAAGGCAGGAATTGTGACTGATTCAAAATTTCGAGTACCTGAGCAAAACAACTGAAGACATAGGGAAGAATTAAGCAATATTCTTGACTCAGGCTACAAAAAAATGCCATTAATGAATTAAAACTGTAGAGAAACACATTTAGTTCAGCACTGCAAAGAGACTGACAGAGGAGTCGGTCTGAGAGGCAGGAGAAGGGGAGAGAAAGAGACAAAGGCAGGGAGAGGCTAAAAAAAAGACCCTAAATATCACCTTCCCAATGAATAAAGTCACCTGTAATTTAAACCCATTTCTTCTCAGTGTTCTCAGGTTAAAACACAAGACCTTCTATCCTTAAAAATTTGACAGTAGGTAGATACTGTATGATAATGTGTGAAGCCTGGTTTGATTCTCAGATTCATAGTACATAAAGGGAATGTACCTCCCATGAGATCCTTCCATAACACCAATCAAGGATGTTTACAAAATATTGATTATAGTGTTTACAGGCAGCTTCTGTAAATACAAAATATGCAGGCTGAACTGAATAATCTCCTTAATTTTTTTCAGTGACAAGTATTAATCCTTGGACAACTTGCATGCTAGGAAAGTACTCTTACGTGGAGCAACAGTAATAGCCTCCAATGAGCTATTAACACAGATACCCAGGGTTTCTGAGCTGACTTTCCACCTGTAAAATCTAGTCTCCCGATCTCACCAAATTCTACTAATTAAACCTGAAGTCTATGATGAGGGAGCACAAAGTATGCTTTGCCATTAATTACTAGTTACCTAAGAAAGGTCTCTGGGATAATAGCAATCATTAAATGGAACATGTCTAGAAGGGACACAATGCACTGAAGCCTTCAAAGAAGATAGAGTAAAGATGATTTTCAAGATTAGGGTATGCAAATATAGCATGTGCCTAGTCTGTGCAAGGTCCGGGGCTGAAACATGAGCACTCAAAATATCAATGAAAACCTTCTAGATATAGGAAAGGACTGCATCCTATTATGTATTCACAACTCAAAGAAACTAAAACAGAAAAGCTTCAACATTAATTATCTCAATAATTAATTGTTGGTGAAAACAGAAATGTTAAGGTATGCTCAAATATATAGTAAACAATACTACTCAAGTGTTTTTTATAACTATAAGGTGTCTTAGAAGGAAATTATAGTCAATAAACAAAACAAATTTAATAGACGTCATAAGAGCAGGGAATAAATGAGGGGAAAAAAGCCATGCTGTCGTGGCACACATCCTAGCAATTGGGAGTGAGTTTCAGGCCAGCCTGGTCTACAAAGTGAGTTCCAGGACAGTCAGGGCAATACAGAGAAACTCTGTCTCAACTAACAAACAAACAAACCCTAAGATACCCACTAAACCAGCATACCAGGACTGATGGAAAATGAACAAGCTCATTTGATTAAAAAAAAAAATCTAGGAATGAAAACATGAGAAATGATGGACCTTCAAGAAAAAGAAACTTCCACCAGGCGTTGGTGGCGCACGCCTTTAATCCCAGCACTCGGGAGGCAGAGACAAGCGGATCTCTGTGAGTTCGAGGCCATCCTGGTCTACTGAGCGAGTTCCAGGACAGCCTCCAAAGCCACAGAGAAACCGTGTCTCGAAAAACCAAAAAAAAAAAAAAAAAAAAAGAAAGAAGAACAAACTTTCATTCATAGGCCAACAAAAGAAAATCGTTACGAACATCAGTCTTTATAATAACCTAAAAACAAGTCCCTACGATGCCACTTTCTTGTATTCCCAGCACTGGTGAAGCTGAACTAGGAGAATCTTACATTTAAACCAGCCTCGATTCTATATGTTCTTTACATCAGAAAGGCAAGGGAAGAGGGGTTGTGGTTCCCCCTGCCCGGTGCTACAGAAATAAGTATGTATGTCTCAAAGTGTTGTGGAATAGTTATTTATATTGTGAAGCAGTTTCTTTGCCGAGTAAGATGGGATTAGCGAGGACAGACAGGACTCGGTAAGAAAGGTGGGATCGCCAGGCAGATATAGAAGGACAGACAGTAAAGAGAGACACCGGTGAGACCGAAAAATTTGGACGGACGAAGGTAGAGAACAGAGGTAACCGAGTCATGTGGCAAAATACAGAATAGAGACACATTCATTCAAGTTATGAGAGACAATTGAAAAAACAATCCTAAGATAAGGTTACTCTTCGAGAGCTGGCTGGAGCGACAAAGACTCTTTTTTTTTTTGGTTTTTCGTGACATGCTTTCTCTGTGTTGCTATGGAGGCTGTCCTGGAACTCGCTCTGTAGACCAGGCTGTCCTCGAACTCACAGAGATCCGCCTGCCT